TGTTTTATTCTCAACATTCAGGGTTAAAAAAGTAAAGTGGGGGTGCCTGGGTGGCTCAGTTGGTTAAGCATCTGACTTCAGCTCAGGTGATGATCTCATGAGTTTGAGCCCCGCTTTGGGTGGGCTCGAGCCCTGCTTTGGGTGAGCACGAGCCCCGTTTCGGGTGAACCCCTTTTCTCTGTCTCTCCCTCTCTCTCTGCCCCTCGTGGGATTCTGTCTCTTTCTCTCTCTCTGCCCTCGCTCACTTGTGTCACGTCTCTCTCAATAAAAAATTTAAACAAAGTAAAATGGGGGTGCCTGGGTGGCTCAGTCAGTCAGGTGTCTGACTTTGGCTCAGGTCATGATCTCAGGGTTCATGAGTTCGAGCCCCACATCGAGCTCTCTGTTGTCAGTGCAGAACCCACTTCAGATTTTCTGTCTCCCTCTCTCTCTCTGCCCCTCCTTTGTTTGCATGTGCTCTCCCTTTCTCTCTCAAAAATGAATAAACATTAAAAAAAAAAGTAATACGGAAAGTGATTACTGATAAGTTTTTTAACATCTCTGTCATAGGTAGATAAAATTAATTCAAACGTGTATGCTGAAATCACATATTACTCTTTATTGTTTACTTAATATGTATCCTGTGTTGTTCTAGAAGGGATTCTTAAGTGATTCATAAAGTAGATAATCAACAAGGTAAGTTGCAAGTGTGGTGGAAGAAGAAACAAAAAGTATAGGGCAACAGATATTAGACTCGCTAGCCTAGTCTTGGATGACAGTAATCTGCACGTGTATGTTGTGTAAACAACATCCGCAGATGCTCTCTTACACTGCACATCATTTTTGGAGGTACCTGTAATGTTTTGTCAAGTGGAAATTTATTTCTAGTGAATTGATAAAATTGTTTATAAACAGTAACTTCTCTTTTTAATGAGTAACTGAATTATCTGTCCTATGGAGGAATAATTACACCTGTAGGAAAAGGGGTAATTTTCAACTCTAACTTTTCTGAATAATTTCACACTTCCTTTCTTACAACATCTACCAGAGTTATTACTGACTAAAACTAAGTTGCATAATGCTTTCTCATTGCTTCTTTTCAATTGTATATATCTTTTGGAAGAGATTCAAGTGAGAAATTAAAAACAGCCCCAGAAAGGAAAAAAATTTGAGAACATAGAAATTTCATTTGGACAGTAAGCCAACATGTGGAACCAGATCATAGGAGGAACTTTTTATTTCTAACAAAACAAATTTTAAAATAAGCATATTTAATTGCAGATTTACTTTAAAACAAGAAGAAGAAAAAAGAAGAAATGCTGATATGTTATATGAAAAAATTAAGGAGAGGTTAAGAAGAAAAGAAGACCAATATAATAAAGAAGTTGAAACAAAACAACAATTTGAACTCGCTCTTAGAACACTAAACATGGAATTGAAGGCCGCAAAAAATCATTTGAATCAGGTAAATTACTTTTTGATAAAAAATTGTGTATTTCCATCAATATTATATAGTGTATTACACATATATTTTATGGTATCCCTTTGATTCAATATATATTATTTAGGTTTAAAATAAATTAAAACATGGGATCATGGTCCTTTGAACATTTTTTTAAAGTTCTCCTCTTCAGCTTTTGACCTTTTTTTTAACGGTATGAGACCAGAATCATAATGAAATGTATCTACAGGTTGTAGAAAAGCGCAGTGACACTCAGTGGCAACTTTCTCCACAGAACGCCAGAGAATTCCAGGATGGAATTCTAAACAATCACCTTTGCAAACAAAAGGAGATAAAAACGGCTCATAAGAAAACTAATTCTAAGGTTTCTTCTTTAGCTATTTTGAAGTACATGTGTGTATGTATTTGTATATATTTTATTTTTTTAATTATTACTACTTTTTCTCCATGTATGTATATATATATATTTTAAAAACCGAACATTGTACATCATGGAAACTATACAGGATTTTAAAAGCACATATATTTTTGGGGAGGGGTATGGGGGGGCGGTGGCATTTTTGCTTCATTCGATAAAATAATATTCTTGATTAAATGCATTTGTCTCCAGCAAATAGTGACATTCATAATGTCCTCATCCAAATAAGAGGCTTTTATTACTTTCTGTAGGAATCGATGAGCTTTCCCTAATCTCAAAACTGTTGCTACTAGCAACATGTGTTTTGGTTTTGAACAGTTACTTGACTGCCTTGATATATTAATAGGTTAGTTTAACACTTCTGCTAATGGACAGGAGGACGAGTGTAGCCAGTTCACAGATCATATTTTCGGTATCAAGTCTCCTACTTTTGAGAAAAGTAACACTTTGCTTCAAGTAGCATCCTATTTCATTACAAGGAACTTTTGAAACAATGGTATGCTATGCTATATACTTAATGATAATTTATTGATAGGTATT